CGTTTCTCTTTTCAAAGAGTCCTCGAATACTCCAAGTCTGAGACCGAAATCTTCATATTGCCCCCGGGCCACCACAGCCTCCCCGTAGGGGGGGATGGGCCTGTTACAATGAAACATTGCTTTAAAATGCGAAAAATCACAGAAGAGCTTCAAACTTAGCATCAAATCCGAGTGGAACTTCTTGCCAATGTTAACGCAAACGCAGCCTGCGACTTTAAAGTGAGTTTTCAAAACTCTTAGCCCCCTGCCCCCCCTCATTTTTGGTTGCAGAGTGGGTAAAAACCGGGAAATTCACTACAAATAATGCCCGAAACTAATGTCCAACTTGAGGAGGACCCTTGAAACGTTGCGATCAGTCGGAGCATTGAAATACAAGGACTGCCACCCCCTTAAAGAACGGAAACATCCAAAACACCCCTGCTACCCCCCTCATTTTTCGTTGCGGAGCGGGTAAGAACCGGGAAATTCGCCAGAAATGATGCCCCGGTTCTTACCCGCTCCGCAACGAAAACAGAGGGGGGCAGCGGCGGTTTTACGGATGTTTCCGTCCTTAAAGTGGGCGGCAGTTCCTGTGTTGCAGTTCTCCGACTGAGCGCAACGTTTCAAGGGTTCTCGTCAAGTTCTACAGAGGTTTCGGGCATCATTTCTGGCGATTTTCCCGGTTTTTACCCGCTCCGCAACGAAAAATGAGGGGGGTAGCGGGGGTGTTTTGGATGTTTCCGTTCTTTAAGGGGGTGGCAGTCCTTGTATTTCAATGCTCCGACTGATCGCAACGTTTCAAGGGTCCTCCTCAAGTTGGACATTAGTTTCGGGCATTATTTGTAGTGAATTTCCCGGTTTTTACCCGCTCTGCAACCAAAAATGAGGGGGGGCAGGGGGCTAAGAGTTTTGAAAACTCACTTTAAAGTCGCAGGCTGCGTTTGCGTTAACATTGGCAAGAAGTTCCACTCGGATTTGATGCTAAGTTTGAAGCTCTTCTGTGACTTTTCGCATTTTAAAGCAATGTTTCATTGTAACAGGCCCAATCCCCCCCTACGGGGGGCTGTGGTGGCCCGGGGGCAATATGAAGATTTCGGTCTCAGACTTGGAGTATTCGAGGACTCTTTGAAAAGAGAAACGGTATGTCCAAGAGCCGCCGAAGCTACTCTAAACAAGTAGCAAAAGCTACCTGCTGAGGGGGCGCCGCCCCCCCAGACCCCCCCTTTCAAATTATATATGTGAGACTTTGAGTATCATAGAAGTCGTGCGGCGACATGCCGAATGAAATGCCACAATTAAAATTATTGGATCAGATGATGAGCTGATNGTTATGGCCAGTGGTGCGTAACTTTTGAATAACCCTGTATGTTGACTTAAAAATGTGATATCGGGATTTCGACCGTTAGAATCTTAAAGTATGCAATTTTAGACGATTTTTCGTCAAAACCGGACCTCGATATCTTTCTTCGTTCAAGAGATATCGAGGTTCACAGGTTTTGACTTCCACCCCCCCCCTAACTCCCCCCCAAAATTTTTTGGGGGTCTGAAAATTTGGGAAAAGAAGCTTTCAAGTATGAGTAATCAATAGACAAAGTCTGAAGAAATTCCAGAGGGGGGGGGGGGCGAAAAAAGCCGTTTTTGCATCAAGCTCTTTTGGGGAGACCAAAAAGTTGCTACTTTAGACCGAGGAACATTGCCACAGTTTCAAACTTCTATCTCAAGCAGGAAAAAAGTTACAGGGGTGGTGGGTAACTTTTGGATAACCCTGTATAGTAAAAAATTTCAAGATAATATTCTTTCCTGGAAATTTGCTTTCTTGGGTGTCCATAAGTCACCTGAAAAGTAAAAAAGAAGGTTCTCAATTACTTGGAGGAGAGGGGGAGGGGGCACAGTAACTGTGAGAACGCATTGAAACACGCCAATGGATCCTTGTGCTCTTGCGATGTCTGGGCGCCCCCCCTCCCCCTTTAACCTTAAATAATTAAGAACCTCCTATATACTTTTCAGGTGACTTTTGGGGCATCCAAAGAGTGAATTTCAGGGGCAAAACATTTTCTGGAAAATTTATTTGAAGATATTCCAGCTGGAGATTAATTTTGTAAGTAACTTGGAATCACCCCATGTTTTGACCAATATGTCTACTACTAAATTTTCGGTGGGATTATACCTAGTAGAGGTGTGAAAGACTAACAGATCCTTACATATTGAATGAATATTTTTTTTTATTTTTTGGAAATTTTACCCCTAAAAAACCAAAATTTTGACTTTGCAAAAAATTCTGTTGTGCTGCAATTTTTTGGACATTTTTTCCGAGTCCAGCAGTACAAAACCCATAGGAATCTAAAAGGACTCCTCGTAATATGACACGACCAAAAAAATGCGAGGGCATGCATTCTTTCTTTATCTGCAGGGAACAGTTTGGGGTGAAGATTATTATTATATTCATAAACATTTCAATTGATGTCAATAGAAAAATGATCCGATTCAGATGGCAGTGACAGATATAGTTCAAGTTATATTAAAAAGCACATAATTACCTAAATCTATTGTCAGATGAGGTATGTGTAAAGTCAAACACTAGTTCAAAAGGCGATTCCCAGTAGGGCTTCAAAGTTAGGTACACATGAAAAACCAAGAATTCTCCATTTGTTTCACCAATTCTGTGGAGTGAAAGGACAATTAATCCACAACGTAAGGCATTGAAGAAAACTAGAGAAGATTGAGCGCAATTATTGTTAAAAATAGTTGATTAATACATTGTACATATTCATGCGTATTTTTGCAGCATCACCATTGATATGCTTTTTTTCATTTTCTGAGCAAAAATGGACTTTGAACACCTAACATGCAAAGGTTAGGATGTGTGCGAAGTAAAAGGACAATTAATCCACAAAGTAGGGCATTGAAGAAAGCTAGAGAAGATTGAGAGCAATTATTGTTAAAAATAGTTCATTGATACATTATACATATTCATAAGTATTTTTACAGCATCACCATTGATATGCACCATTGATATGATTAAAAGTGCGGTTCAAACCTTCCTAAAATATTGTTCTGCAAGAATGCCTTAATGCAACAAAGTTAGCGCGGCAGGGCACTATTTCTTCAACTGCTCATATTTTTAATCATTTAAAAAAACCATTAAAAAATGAACAAATTTACCCATTATAAGATTGCACACATCATTCATTTCAGCCAGGCTAATGAACTCTCCAGAGGGACCTCTCATGCACTATTTCATGATAAAATTCAGAACTTTAGATCCTCCTCTCCCTCATCACGCATCTGTGATGCAGGTCTGAAATTCTTAAAAATTACGTTCTGTCAGCAATAACCCCCCCCCCCCTTTATTAAGAACAAGAAAATCCTTTGCCGACAAAACATCTTTTGCAAGTATATTTACCAAATCTTTTGGAACAATTTTAAGAAATCAGCATTTTATTTAATTTTTGCCATTCCCCAACAGTGACAGACTCCCTCTATCCCCTTGTTGCGCATCCAGCACATGACATTGAAACAAGACAATGGGTCAATTGCATTGTTCACAGAATTGTGTTTTGATCCTCGAATCTTGTAAATCAGCTGAAAATAATAAGATCTGTCCAAACAACAACTATCTAAGTACAATATTAACCTACATATAGAGCTTTTGAAAAATTCAGTTTATGATGTCATCCACTGCAGTAGTGACACCCTTGGTTCCTTCCACCTTCCTTTCATTTAAGTGCCACGTTGAGTAACCAGTGCAAACGTTGATTGATAAAAGCGAGGTGGAAGAAACCAAGGGTGACACTACTGATGACGTCATAAACCGCATTTTTCAAAGCGAGATACCTGGATTAATATTGCACATAGAAAGTTGCTGTCAAAACAGACTTTATTATTTTTATCTGATCTACAAGAATCAAGCATCAAAATACAATTCTGTGATTAAGGCATGACCCTTCCTCCTCTTTGAGCATGACTCCATTTAAGGGTGGCTCTCAAACCTTTTGTAGACTGAAATGAGAGGGAAAAAGGATTTTGTGACAATGCACAATATATTTTCTTCAAGTAAAATCACTTACTTGTATCTTCGAGCAACGTAGTAAAAGACAGGGTTTCCAGCTTTGGAGGTCCCGGCCTGATAAAATATATTGAGCGATTTAACCTGTTTGTACTCTTCTTTCTCATGCATATTCCTTTTGACCATCATTTCCTCAAAATTTGATCCAGACATATCAATCGAGCTCCATCTTGAAGGAAATATTAACCTAAAAGTAAAGAGGGGAATAAATGATAAACAATGCATTCAGGTATACCGTATAAACTGACTGAAACATACAGGGTGTCCCAAAAGTCCGTACCCCCCCTCGGAACTTTTGAACGGTTAGAGGTAGAAAAACGAAACTTTGGGAATGTTTCTACCTTAAAGAGGACCATCTTCTAGGGGGGTCAAAATGTTTGTCCCCCCTCAGGGGGAGCGCGGGGGCTCCCAACTTTTTTTTTTCAAATGATAACCCCTATGTTGTGATACACCATTCGAAAGAGCATAAAAAACTAAGAAATTTGGCGCAAATCGCAAATCAATACCTTAATTTTTGACCGAGTTATGATAGGTCAAAGGTCCAATTTGACCTATTTTCAAAAAATCATAACCCCGGTTCAAATTATCATAAAAGAAAAAATAAAACGGGCAAATTTACCAAATTGTAAGCATTTTTAAGTAAGAATCACAGAAATTACATCAAACTAATTTTAAGGGGGGCTTCGGACCCCTAATACGTCATTTTAAAGGTCATACGATTTTCTCGCGAAATGAGCCAATTTCCCCTTACTTTTCCTCAACGTCATTTTAGTAAGTTCAGAATTTGTTCAACATTGCGATTTCAAGTCCCCAAAGGAGGGGTTACGATTTGGGCCAAAATCGGCCCCTCCGCGGAATTGGATGATTTTTGGATATTTGGCAGTTGACGGTGCATTTACGATGGAAATAATCGAGTTTAGCCGATACTCACGTTTTTTGGCTGCGAAACAGGGGCCTAAACATGGCTCCGTGGCCGAAAATAAATGAATTTTCGCGTTTTTCACGGTCCTACCTCAGATTTCGACCTGGGCCCAAAGGCGACGGGTGATGACCTTGGAATATGATGTCTGGGACACCTAGCCACGTAACATACTTAAATATGATCAACCGTCGCCTTTGGGCTCAACCTCAAAATCGAACTTTTCCAACTTTTTAGCCCAAAATAGCTGAAAATCCATGTTTTCCGCGGTTCTACCTCAGATTTCGACCTGGGCCCAAAGGCAACGGTTGATGAGCTTCGAATATTGTGTCTGGGACACCTTGACACGTGACATACTTGAATATGATCAACCGCCACCTTTGGGCCCAACCTCAAAATCGAACTTTTCCAACTTTTTAGCCCGAAATATCTGAAAATCTATGTTTTCCGCGGTTCTTCCTCAGATTTCGACCTGGGCCCAAAGGGGACGGTTGATGAGCTTCGAATATTGTGTCTGGGACACCTAGACACGTAACATACTTAAATATGATCATCCGTCGCCTTTCGGCCCAACCTCAAAATCGAACTTCTCCAACTTTTTAGTCCGAAATAGTTGAAAAGTACTGTTTGTGCAACGTTCTATTCAGGTTCTGGTCTGAACCCAGAACTTGCCTTCGAATACAGAGAATGGATTCATATCTTCTTGGTTTATTGTCTGTCACAAGTCACTTGAATGACTGCGAAAACTGAGTTTTGTACTATTTTACGTATAAGTTAAATTGTCAGCTCCAGATTCCTTGATCGCTTGCTTGAGCTCTCCAGTGCTTGGTAATGTTACCGTTATGAAAAGCTCCCTGTAATTAAACAGCATACATGCTTGTATTTGATGACTATCTCAGGTGAGAGATATCTGATTATAGGAACTTCACGATAGGGTTTTTTTGACTGAATGCAGTTTTCACCAAATGTAACTCCACAGTGCTTATCATGACCTCAGGAAGTCAGAGAAGTTTGCTTTGTTGGAGAAGTTCGATTTTGAAGTTGGGCTCAAAGGCGACGGTTGATCATATTCAAGTATGTTACGTGTCTAGGTGTCCCAGACACCATATTCGAAGCTCATCAACCGTCGCACAGTGGGGAAAACGACCAATCTAGCCGCTCAAAAGTCGTAATTTCAAGTGTTTGGTAGAAAGCTACCAGAGGCTGCATTTCATTCTCAGATATCCACTGACACCAAATCAGTGATTAAATTCACCAGAATCTTATTTGTTATCAAAAAATTGATGATGAACCGTGAGCGTAAACAGTTAAGACTGGAAGCCCAGATGGAAGACGCACCAAATGCGTTCCGTACTGATGGTGTTCACGCAACAGGTTATGCAATTGATGGTTTTCCAGCATGGCAGAGCCCCTGAGAAGTAAATCAAATCATTTATTTTATTTCCTCATCATTTTTTCTTATATTTTCTATTTCTTTAACACCTGCTGTGAAAAATCTGTGTTTTTAAACTTCAGAGGATTGGAATGTATCAAATACCGGCGAATACCAATATCAGACTTGTACTAGGTGACGCAGAATTTCATGTAGTTTCATTATCTGTAGAGATATCTTGCGGTTTTTTGCGGTTCAGAGAGATAAACGAAGATTAATGGCCCGGCGTCGAGGCGTTTGTGATGCACTAGGCGCGGCGCACATTGGTTCCAGAGCCAGATCTAGGCGGCATTAATTAGAGTATCACCTTTGTTGGCATGCAATACATGTTTTTATACGTTTTTTGGGTCGCTGATCACGAATCTGAAGTCAGTTTTACTCCATCGTTAACTAAAACATGGTAAATTTGCGAAAAATATCAAATTCACGCTCAAATACCGGAATAATTATTTTACAATTTGGCTTGGAGCTTGAGCTATAATACATGTGACTAATTTAACGATTAATCATCCAAAACGACCAACGATTTTACTATTCTTCATTTTTGGATGGTTATTTGAGAAGGGAGGGAGGGGGGGTTGCCACGTTGAATAACTGAACGAAGTATACCTGCATGCAATTAATACGATCTATTTTCGGAATCTACTTCCATAATTTTGAGGTATAAGAAATGGCAGGATGAAAATAAAGTAAAAAGCGTCCTAATAATACTATTGGACAGGGAGAAAAGGCATTGAACGTGTCGGACACTGGTCCGTTGTTTTTTTAAATTAAAGAGGTTGTCATGTATTTTTTTTTTTTTTTCCTTTTTTCTTTTTTTGAAGTACCTACGAATAATCAAGAAGAGCAAGAGTCAGTTTTCGTCCGAAATTCAAGAAATATATTCAAATTCAAAATTCATGTGTATTAAAATGTACAACAACTAAATCTCATATAAATTTCATGAATAATTAACATCATGAACACATTTAGCAATCAAAATAAGAGTCACAAAAAATTACATTGAAAGAAAAATTTCACTGGCTACGAGAGGAGGTGAATATTCTTGCGGGTAATTATCACATTTTATAGATTCAGACAATGGTATGCCAAAAAAAGTAGGTAAAAGTCGCAGCTTTTGTGATTTAGTCGCAGCTTTGTTGCATTTATATTTTTTTCTTTTATTCCTTTTCATTGTTATAATTATTGTTTAAGTTATTCTTAAATTATTATTATTTGTTGTTTATTGTTATTCGTTGTTTATAAAATTATTTAGTTATAATGCTATAATTTCTATCTTTTCTTTCTTTTTTCTCCATTAATTTTTAGATTCTTCTTTATTTCTTTTTTCCTCTTCTTTTCTCATGCTGTTTCAGTGTTTGATTTCATTGTCTTTTCACAATTCAAAAAGTATCTTCGTATTAAAAAAACGCCTGTATCGATGAAAATAAATGTTATTGTCTTGTAAACTGAATAGACCCACTAATTTTTAATTTCACATTTTTACTGTACGTAACATTCAATTTTTCAGTGTACAATGCCATTAAGTGATGTTATAATTGATTAGATTGTTTTGAAAGAAGTGTAACGCAACGCAGAAAATCAGATAATTAAGAAAATTCACGTAAAGTGAACCAAAAGTAGGTGTAAAAAGATGGTCCACCAAGCTCTTTGGATTGGGCCATTGTGCGGCGAAAATATAGCCCAAGGGGGGTTGACAAAATATTTTCTTGCCTCAATTTGGGTCCCCCTATCCTTTGGCTACATTTTTAACCCAAGAAACACGAATAAAAATCAAAAGCGTTGACAAAGGGACTTTTGAGCGGCTAGATTGGCGTTTTTCCCCACTGTGCGTCGCCTTTGGGCCCAGGTCGAAATCTGAGGTAGAACCGCGGAAAACATAGATTTTCAGATATTTTGGGCTAAAAAGTTGGAAAAGTTCGATTTTGAGGTTGGACCCAAAGGTGGCGGTTGATCATATTCAAGTATGTTACGTGTCTAGGTGTCCCAGACACCATATTCGAAGCTCCTCAACCGTCCCCTTTGGGCCCAGGTCGAAATCTGAGGTAGAACCGCGGAAAACATGGATTTTCAGCTATTTTGGGCTAAAAAGTTGGAAAAGTTCGATTTTGAGGTTGGGCCTAAAGGTGACGGTTGATCAAATTCAAGTATGTTACGTGTATAGGTGTCCCAGACACCATATTCGAAGCTCATAACCCGTCGCTTTTGGGCCCAGGTCGAAATTTGAGGTATGACCGCGAAAAACGCGAAATTTCAGCTATTTTCAACCACGGAGCCATGTTAAGGCCCCTGTTTCGCAGCCAAAAAACGTGAGTATCGGCGAAACTCGATGATTTCCATCATAAATGCACCGTCAACTGCCCCCTTATAAACACATTCCACTTTCCCTAGGGAACGATATAATTCCACATGACACAACTGCCAAATATCTCGGACTTCACCTGGATTCCAGGCTCAGGTGGGGCACCCATATTAAAAAGAAAGTAGCCCAGCTACGTTTAAAGTTCTCTAATATGCAGTGGCTCGTCGGACGAAAGTCACGGTTACCTTTAAATATCAAGTTACTCCTCTACAAGTCAATGTTGAGGCCTGTTTGGAGCTATGGCTGCCAATTGTGGGGTTGTGCAGCCAAAACAAATTTAGATAAGATAGAAGGAATACAAATGAAAATTCTGAGAAGCATAGCTAAAGCTCGTTGGTACGAGAGGAATGTCGATATCCGGGCAGACCTCGACATTGATTCTGTGGAGGACTACATCACCAAGATGTACACCGCATATGAGAGCAGGTTGCATCGGCACCCCAACCCTGAAGCGCTCGCGCTCTTGGAATGGGA